CTTTCTTTCTTTCTTTCTTTGCTTCAAAATATTTTTTTCAATTTCAAATCATTTGTTTTCTTTCAGTTTCCATTAAAAAAATAAATCAAACAAGCTTTATGGCCCCAATTTACCTCCATTTGATTGTCAGTGAGTAATGAGAAATGCTAGACTCCAATTTGTTTGGAAATGAACTTTAACCCTTTCACAGATTGATGGACAACAACAAATCACTCTTAACCCCATGGAAGCAGCTCGGCCTTTTCCACACACAGTCTTTCCGTTTTCCAATAATAAATAAGAGCAYGATGGACTTTTTTTCCCTGTAACTATTAAGTGTTGCAGGTAAAACACTCAGCCAACTAGGAATGAGATTGAATTCAGATTTGACCACAAAAGCCTGCAGGGACTCTGCTCTTTATCTGATCAGGTATTTATGGGTTTGAACACTCAATCAAAGGTGGCATTTTTCTCTAAAGTGGCAACATAAACCAAGCCCAAACACAGTTGTCAAAATATTAAGCAGGCCAAATGTAGGTGGGAGGTCTGAGGCGTTCCACACACCGCTCATTCATACAGTGACATGAGGCCTGCAGTGAACTTTGTGTTGGTGTAAACCGTGCACAGCARAGAGGCGACATGATCGACTCACAGGAGTTAAGCTCAGCGTACTGCGACTCGCTAAGAGGGGCCCAAACAAGACCCTGGGGAGCTGAGGGTATCTGGATATCTGGAGTCGTTAAGGCATGGGCTTGGCCATGACGTCAGTGTGTTTTCTGTGAGTAAACACACAAATGGAGTGCGGTGCACACTGGATGTTGAGCTTTTGGGGCTACAATKATTTACAGAAAGGTTTGACAGGAGAAGTGGAGGCACCTGGGTAAAAAGAAGCTGAACTACGAGCTGATGTTCAGCTCAGGAACAAAACAGTCACATTTCATCCCAACACACAAAGTCACAGTTCTTTATAGCTGCTGATGTGAAAAATGTGCTTTTATAGGGTTTAAATTAATGAAATATGTTGAATCCATAGCGCCCGCCTTCTTTGATGCATGCCAGAGATTTAAACTAAGATCATCTTCTGATGAAAAAAGTTTGGGCTGTTTTGGTCAAACTTCTAAACGATGTTGCACAATCTGATGCAAAATTGTATGATCTGGGTGGCTCATGATATATTGTGCTAACAGTGAAACAGTTTTTTTTTTACAAAGTTTTAAGCAATACGTAGCTCTTAAAGTATGTGTTTTGAATGACTCTCAGCTACTACCACATTGTATTTTRGCACAGYATTTGTAAAATTAACARAGTTACAGTTAGTTTTGTGTTTTCTAAGATTAGTCAGCTGGAGCGGCCATCTTGGCTCCAAAATGTGACCCAGA